ACCGGGCCGGGAAGCAGGAGGGCAGGGCTCCGGCAGGGAGCTGGTCTACACTGTGATGCTGGGTGCTTCTTTCAACATCTTTTGTTCTCCATCCTGCTTGCTTCAGAGAGTCTTGTCTTAAAACAATCCCCCACTGAAGTGTTTCTTATTTGCACCACCTGCTCTCGAGTTTCTCCCGGGCTGGATCTCCATGGGGAGGGCATCCCTCGGGCTCCGCAGGAGACCAGGAGCTGCTGAAGAGGAGAGAAAGCCGTGGCTGGGCTGCCTTGTCCACCTTGCCCTGCTGCTGACCGTGGGCACGGGAAGCTGCACTGAACCTGCCTCGAGTACAGTGGAAGGAGAAGGAAGGGGGAGAGGGCTGATGGGAAGGGACCGTGATGGGAAGCCCATCGCTTGGCGACCAACCAAAAATCTGACAAGGCAAGGCCCGAACCCCAGGGGGGCTGGAGACTAAGACCGGATTAGCAAGGATGCTTTTGTGCTCCCTGACAAGCTGCCTGCCCTTCCCCCAGGGTGTCAAACATGCTTCTCCAAAAAAAAACTCTTCTCCCGCCCCCTCCCCATGTCACTGGAGCGGCAGTGAACCTCCGCTGGCTATCAACAAGCTCTGTCCTGCCCCACTTCTTCCCAGGCTGGTCCCCCGAGCAGCTGGCCCCCAGGCCCCCTCCCCTCCTCTGGCCCCCCGGAGCAGCTGCCCTCCAGGCCCCCTCCCCTCCTCTGGCCTCCAGCCCTCCTGCAGCAGCAGGGCCTTGGGAGCACCTGGAGGGATCTTAAAAATGTGAAGGTCTCTGTAAATAGTATGTGTCCACTGTGGTGTTGGAGCAAGCAAAAAAAAAAAATCCCCAGAAGTTTTCCTTTTGATTTTTTTTTAAATGATTTCTGTGCGACGTGCTTTCCCGTGTGGATGTGTAGCCGAACCGTACTCACTGGCACTAGGCTCCTTGCTCCTTTAGTGTGGGTAGGACCCATGCGTTTGGGAAATGTACACTACTTATGGTCCTTCCACCCAGTGCATCTGTCCACTTTTGTTAAATTTCAATAAAATTATTTGTAGAGCCTGCAAGTCCAAGAGCTGTCTTACTAGAAAGCTGAGGGGAGGTAGGCTTTGCCATGCAGGTCTGTTTGCCCTTGGCACTTCGAGCCACCTGTATTTTTGGGAGGGGATGTTTTGGCTGAACTGGTGGTGGAAGAGCTGTGAGTCAACGGCTGTTTCCAGGTGCTCCAGTCTGGCACATAGCCCCAGCAGGAGTTGGTGGCTTTGTTGGGCTGTGACTGCTTGAAATTGCTGTGACCTCCTTTATATATGTAACTAAAAGGTGTTGATTTAAATATATGTAATTTTCTTCCTCAGCCGAGTAGGGTTGGAGCTCAGGCCACTCTCCACATGGGGAGGGAAGTCTGGAGGGACCTGGGAGGCAGTAAGGGACCCTAGTGTCGTGGGCAACCCAGCATCAAGCCAATCTCTTCCCATCCCTCTGAGCCCTGTGGGGGGAGCATCTGCCTGGCTGCTCATCACCCTCCCTGCCAGATCAGTGCCTCATTAATCACTGGGGGCCTGACAAGTTTCCCGAACCCGGCGTGACCTGGTGCCGGCTCTCCATGGGGTAAGTGTGATCTCACTTTGTGTCCTGCGTCCTGCCCCGGCAGCCCTGCACATGTTTTCCTTCGGCCGCCGCCACCTCTCATCATTTCCTCTGCGCAAGCCGGCTCGGAAACGAGCCACTGATGAAAGCTGTAATGAGAGTGAGTGGTGTGGTGTGTCCTGCCAGCACTTTGGCTTGCGGGGGACGAGGCTCTGGGACTTTTGCCTGTCAATCCGTCGGCCCCGACCCCAGGAGGGATGGATGGTGGTGGCCTCGGGGCAGCTGCATAGGGCGTTATTGCTCAGTGTCATTTGCCAATCCCTTGAGAATCTCTGGAGCCACCCTGGTCCCTGTGGGGCAGGGCCATGCCTGCAGCCCCTGGCCCCGGGCGGAGGTGGGTGCTGACCTCCCCTCTGGCCCCGTGGCCGCTCTGTCCCAGAGTGGATCTCCTCTCACGCCTTGTCTGGACCTGCCTGGCAGGAGCGGATGTGACTAACGCTCTGTTATCCGGTGGATTCACAACCGCGTGGCTTCCCTGGCTGCTCCCCACCTCTGCCGCCCCACGCCTGGCTGAGAATGCCTTAAAATCATCTCACGCTCAGCGGATGAGATGGGAGAGGGGAGGCTGGACCTGTCCAGGTGCGCCCTTTCAGCAGGGTCTTCCCTGTGGGAAGGGAGGAGGGAGAACAAGGCAGGCAATGCCAAGCCCTCCTGAAGGGATGGCAGGTTGAGGATTTCCAGCAGCAGAAAGCTGTGACCCCTCTGGCCACTGCGCTGCTGGTGGGGCTGATTACCCTCTGCACACGAGGCCGCGAATGATGGAAAATTTTACGCATTTCTCTGCCTAAGGGAGCCTGTTTGGGGGGGAGGGGCGCCCCCCGCCTGTGCTGGGATTCCTTGGCTCCCTACAGCCTCCCTTGAGAACTTTCTCAGCCAACGCCTGGCCAGTGGCCGACCTTCGCTGCCCCTCTCCCGGCTGGTGCCCGGCATGTCCCGCAGACCCAGCTATGGGGTGCAGTCTGGATTTGGGGTGGCTGGCCTGGACACTGCGCCTGTCCCCAGTGGTGCTGTCACCCTCTCGGTGGG